TGACAGCTACAGCTCCACACATTGCAAAGCTCTGCCCCACACACAGCTCTGGAGCTCAGTCTAAGTCTCAGTCTAAATCTGATCCCTTTTGCATAAACTCCTTGAGTTTGGGTCTTGAGCTGGCCTAAATGGACAGGGCTGCTGTGGCTAAAGGGTTGCTGTTGCCTCAACAAAAGTTTCTAGGTGATCTGAAGGATCCAAGGTGTCTTCCATGGGGTGGCAAATGTAATACTGTGAGACCCACACTCTTTTGGACTGGCAGTGGGATACTCTAACCCACCTAAAATGGCACCAGACACAATCCACCAGCTGGATTATACCCAGTGATCTGCAGGGATTTCTTGTGGGACATTTAGTCCACTGTAGATCTATGCCTGTGGAGAAACTTTTGACTCAGCAGTGCTTTCAAAAGGGTCTGGTCCTCCTGCTTCGCTATAAGTGGTTCCTTGGTGGTCTCGGCACCTGCTGTGCCAGGGTGACTCTGGGGGGCTTCCCTGCCTCTCTAGAGCAATAGCACAGAGACACTAGACCTCTATTGTCTGCAGGAGTCAGATGCTACAGGTAGTTTTCTGTGCACCTCTAGGTTAGGGCTGAGGGGAGGCTTTAGATGCAGCTTGGCCTCCAAGCATACAGTGAAGACACTTAGCCTAAGGAGGCTGAAAATGCTGCTGCTGCTGCTTCATGGAGCTCTGGAAGGAACCTGAAAACAACTCTCTGTTTTGGCAGCAGAAAAGAGTGAAATTCTTGCTTTCAGCTTCATCTTTCATTGCTACTGTTCCAACAGACAGTTAAAGCCAAACTGAAAGAGGACTGAGGCAAACAATGTCATGAAACAGTTCTGCATTGGCCCAGGGGGAGCAGAGGATCTCACAGATCTTTTCCACCATTATTTTCTGCAGTTTTCATACAGGAAGACAGCTGGCACTTACTCTGTGAAACACCGGAGTGTTGCACCTTCTATTGGGCTGTCCTCGAGGGGGGCAGGAGGAAAAAGGGCTCTCTAAAGGTCAGCCAGGTTGAGCATAATCAGACAAAGGAGGACAACCTCACGGTAAGATTTTTGCTTAGTTGCTGTAGTCATCCTCATTTCATTTGGATTTGCCCTCATAGAGCAATAAAACTCAGTTCTGCAAACACATCTGTGCTGCAAGAACTTGATGTGATCTTCTAGAAGAGCCTTGTATTTGCACTGGCAGGGAAAGCCCTCTCTAGCATTTAGTAATTCTCAGTAGTAACCCTGGTGAGCAGTTTTCTATGAAAAGCTGAACTGCTGAATTTCTTCACTGAATTGCCAACAAACTGCTGAGCCTCAGTAAAAAGCTGCTCATGATTCCAGCAGATGTTTCAACCTTGTTTTTTTTTTCTTTTAGGACAACTTTAATGACCAACGTTTTCCTTTCAACTGCTCTTCCCCTTTCCTTCCTCTCTCTGCTCCCTACCTCCACACCAGCCTCAGATTTATTTTTAAAAGCCACTCATTTTTGCACTGTGTGTTGCCACAGCAGCTACACAGACGCTGGAACATTTAAAAGCACATGGACAGCCTAAACCCTGGCCAGATGCCTGCACTGATTTGGGGTGTGCCAACAAGAAGGAAACTAACGGCTTCTGGCTGGGCTGGTATGGACCCAAATCAAGCATAGCCAGCTCAGGGTGTTTGCTCCAGCTGTGCTTCCCCCGTGTGAGAACCACGCTGGTCTCACCCCTCAGGTGGTTGGTGGCAGTGTCCACTCAGTGTGTGCTTCACCATCTTTTTCACCCCTCCCGGAAAGCAAAGGAATTGGGACGAGATCTGGAAGTGCATTGTCACATTCTGAGCTAAGCAATGGGATTACTGCTGAAACCGGAGTCAGTCACCCCTTGGCACTAATGAACCAGTTCAAATTAACCTCTTCCAAGTGTGTCCTTGTATCACAAACTCTTCTAGTGCAGCGAGGGTTCAATGGCCAGGAGACAGAGGACTCGGTTCACAGCTTGTGATGCTGAAGTTTTTTAGTTTGATCATACCTGACTCATGATCCCTTGGGCATGCTGCAAACTTACTTATTTCTTCAGACCTTCCTGAAGTTTCTCCTTCAGAAACTGTTCTGTTCTAGCTGTTGGGGTTTTTTTAATTATTAATTTTTTTTTATTTTTTTTTTTTTTTAAAGCTGAGCTATTTTGGGGTGTATTATTAGATTTTTATGAGTTGGATTCTCTGCTTGTTCTCACAGGTGAAAAGCAAATGGAAACCTGATCAGCCAAGAGAATCACACCCGTGTGAGATGCTTGTAAAGGAGCAGAGAGCAGTGCTTTGTATTGCTGGAGTGCCTACAGCTTCCATTAGAGGCTCTTTATTTATAAATATGTATTAATCCAGCCTCGAGCAAGGCTGTGACCACAGACCTGCTTCTAAACCCAGTGGCAACTGACCCAAAAATGTCAGAACAAATCAAAAGACCATAAAAACAACCAGAGAAATAATCAAAGACCAGCACAAACCAAACCAATCAAGCAAATACTACCTTAAATCAGCCTTATTAAATATGATGCTGACTGAGTCACCGCTGCCCAGTGCCTTACAAAGGGGATCATCAACAGAGAAAAATCAGTCCTGAAAGATCAGTCCTGACATGAGAGACTCTGACTGCACCAGAAACAGTTGACTGGGAGGCTTTCTCAGGTATTTTCTCTCCCACAATTAGGGCTATGCTAATACAATAAATGGGGAAAATGTTGCTGAAATATGTAATATTCCTGTATGGTTTCTGAACCTTTCTGTAAAAATTATCCTTCGGCTTCCTTCCCACTCGCTGTGCAAATATTTACTAAACTCTGCCTTTTAACACACATTTCTGCAGAACCATTTCATGTCCTAAAAGAAAACAGGTTGTGAAAACACATCGAGTAGAAAGCACAGAGCCATCTCTTTGGTGGGCACCAGGAACCTGCTTAATTGGGGCCTGATTTATAGCTGATGCTGCTGGTTTAATTTCAAAGCCAAGGCAACCGTACATGCCCTTTCCTCCTTAGCATATAGGATGGGACACAGGTCTTGGTGACCTGAACATGCACTTAATACGCTGTTAGTACGTGGATACACTACTCATCTTCTTCACACTTGGCCTCTCTGGGTGATTTCTCCATCCACTGACATTCAGGAGAACATGAAACAGGGGGAGAACGTGGTCCTCCCTGCCCCATCCCTGGAAACATTCAAGGTCAGGTTGGACGGGGCTCTGAGCAACCTGATCTGCTTGAAGATGTCCCTGCTCATGGAAGAGGGGTTGGACTAGATGACCTTTAAAGGTCCCTTCCAACCCAAACCATTCTATGATTCTATGAACTCACTCTTCCAGCAGAATTAACAGCTGAGCTTCTTTACTAGTGCTAACAGGCTGGTTTCTGATCCTTCTCATACTGGGGATGTCAAGACTGTCTTGGTGATATTAATGGGAACATGAAGCAAGTGAGTCACAGCCCCGAAGGACCTGGCCAAGGTGATGTTCTGTGCCTGTGCAGATCTGCAGGGGCTCCTGGCTACCAGGTGTCATCTGCAAGACAAGCTTGGTTTTAAAGCTTGTCAAAGAGATGAGACCAGCAACGTGAGCCATCATTTTTAAGAGGAAAGCCCTACCAGTGACTCACTGTTTGTCCTCATTTCCTCCACCCATTTTAGTGGAGTGGAGTCAGCTTAGAAAAGGGATAAACGAGAAAGATGAAAATAAGCAAAGAGGATAGAAGGGATGCTGAAGAGCAAAGGGAGCCAAAGCTTGGTGCTAACATCTGTGAGGGGAAAGGAGATGCAACAAAGCAGCTGAGCAGCAGTGAGGCAAGAACATCCAAGCATCTCTTTCTCATTTTGTGAGTCTCCTGCTCCAGGAAAAACACATCTGAACATGGCAAACCCTTCATACTACATCTGTCTGCTGGCTCCAGCTCACTGGCACTTGTTTGAGGTCCCTGTGGAAGGCTGTCCCCAAAGCAGGGAGTGGAGGTCCCCCCACGCTTGCTCTGTGCCAGAGCCCGGGCTGACTCACCGCACCAGGATGTCAGCAGACAACAGCCAGCAACCCCAGAGAGCCGCTATCTCTCGTCTCTGCCAGACAAATAGGATATCCTCCGCGGCGCGCGGGAGCCCAGCTGGAGCTGCTCTGCACAGGATGTGCTCAGATATCCTGTGGGCGACTTGTCTTCATGAGCCCCTGGCCGTGCGGGTGCTGTTTATCCGCTCCGACACCCGCCGGGACGGTCCAGCTGGGAGACAGCCCCGCCAGATGGAGAGGTGGGGGCCAGGGAACGGGCTGGCTGGGCTCTGTCCTGGCATTTTCAAACATAAACAGGCCCCTGCACAGAAAACCTCCACTGCTGATGAAGGAAGGGGGCTCAGGAGGCTCCTTGAACATGTCTGCAGAGCTAAAGCAGAGGTGCTCCTCTGTGCTCTCCCCTCTGCCCACTGAGTTGAAGAAGGTGGTCTAGGGTTCAGTCCACCAAAAACCCAGTGATAACGGGGCTCCTCACTAGCCAGGAGCCCTGCAGAGCTCTTACGACACAGACTGCTCTGAAGGAAAAATCCACCTTAGACCTAACTTGGATTTAATTCTGGTAATTATCTCCGCTGCCTTTGATTAGGGTTCATGCCAGTGTGAAAGCAGAGCTTTTATTCATGGGCAAATCTTGCCTCAGATGTTCAGAGATGGCCCAGAGATCCTGAGCAGAAGATCCCTAAGCTAAATTGCAGCAGCCCACTGTTCTGGGGGGTCCCTTCAAAGCCAAAATGAGGATGAAAGTTAAAGAGTGAGCTTGTCTGAAATGGACTTGGGAGCAGCAGGTGTCAGAATTACAACTCTGCAATGGACACAGACTGAGATTGAAGGCCTGGGAAACATGGAGGAGCTTAGGCTTTGGCCTTGAACTGCTGTGACCACAGGGAAGTCACTGTCCCAGTATAAGACTCCATCTCCCCTCTGCTGTGTCTTGAGACTGTAAGTGATGTGGGGCAGTGACCGCCTCACACTGCACAGCAGGATCTTCACCAGACAGTGTGACAGCTGGAAGCAACAACAAATATTTCCTTGCAGCCTTGCTGCAAACCCAGGGGAGATGTGGCAGCTTTAGTGTGCTCCTCGTGGCACTGACCGCCCCTTCAGTGGGGAGGAGTGAGATGGAGAGAGGAAATGGCTACAAGTAATCTCCAGGAAAAAAAAGTACTGAGAACAGTAGGGACGTGAGGGCAAACAGAGATTCAGTCCTGCCCTTGTGATTTCGAGTCACTCAGGGTATTTACAGCCTGGAAGTCTACTGTGGCCACTTAATCATTTGCACTTATTCTGTCCAGCGCTCGGGCTGTTCCGCGATAACCCATCATTGTTGTGATTGTGTGCTGACCATCTTCAGCACAATGGGAGGAAAAGCAAAGGCTGGGACAGAGCCAGTGACTGTGCCCAGTGGGACAGGCAGCAAATGCCCACTCCCGTCCAGTCGGACAGGGATGGGTCACCTCTGCCAGCCAGGCTTGAGGAAAGGGGCTCCTGGAGCAGAGGGGTCTGGGTGACTGTGTGGAAGCAATCCAGGGTCTCCAATTTCCTGGTACCTCTCCTCCTCTACCAGATGTCTTCTCTCTATGATCCCTTGTAGCTGCTGGAAGGCACACAGCAGCAGCAAACCTCACAGTTCCTAACATTTTGGGGACAGCCCTGTCCTCATAGCTGGGAGGACCTCATAGCTGTGTTCCTCTGAACACAGGAACCTGGAGGAAGCCATGCTTGCCTGGCCCACCAGCAGCACCTCGACTGAAACAGAGATTCATATGGTCCTACGGAGGTGTCCAAGTAGACTGATCCATCTACCCAGGTGTGAAGAAATGACTCACCTCATCAAAGAACTCTGCACGGGTCCAGTCACTAGTGTAATTCTGCTGAGTCAGCAAACTCCGTGCTCAGCCAGAAGAGATTTGAGCAAGGAGCAAAAAAACTACAGAAATAAAAGTATGGGCAGCTCCCAAATGGGGATTTCCATCCACATAACCCTGATAGGTGCTGGCCCTACAGAAGCTTTTCTGGGCCTGATTTTCTGCTGGCTGGCTTTCACCTGGCTACTGCTCTCCCAGTGAGAACCCCCATGTTTTTTTTTCCAGGAAGGCGAAAAGTCAGTGTATTAACATGAAAACAGGATTACTACCAAGTAGCTCTCACAAACTTGGGAATGGTGCCCAGGAGGCTGAAATCTTGGACAGATCTTAAGAACTTCCTTGGGGTACTTAACATTATTTACTTTCCAGCAGGAAAGCTGGAAAAAATGCCAAACAAACAAAAAGCTCCAACAACCCGATACCGGTCTGGGAGCTGCTCAGCTACTGCAACTCCCTGAGCCATGGGAGGCACAGACGGTGGATTGTACACTGTGACAGGAAGACCTAAGGAGCAGAAAGGCATCTCTGTTTGCAGGCAAGGCAAGGAATTACACAGCAGAGGCTGATCTAGAGCTCTGTAAGCTTTGCACATTTTAACCCCTTGCTGGACATTTTCCAGGCAGGAGAGGGTGGCTTTTAAGAGACATGAAGGGTACAGTAATGCTGATCTACTACACCACTGTATAGTACCAGGGTTCAGTTTTGAAGTAGGTGTGTTCTTAGGTGGACTTTCCCTTGTCAAGCACGAGAAGGATATTCTCTGGTGCTGCACATCTCAGCACAATGGATTTCGATAACCTGATGTGACACTTAACAGGGGGCATTTAATTGACTGGAACTGTTAATTATAGTGATACCAGCAACCCTGCCCTCCTGAAGAGCTTCTCACCTGAGTAGCTTCAAGATCTCACAAACTATCAATCCTTGCTTTGCTCCTGGAGTGACGTTTAGAACTGTTTCACACACAGCTTGCCCCATTCAGACTGACAGGAGAGTCTCAAAGAAATACAGACAAGCTCCTGACTCCCCTTCCCCGGCCCTTCTCTTCTCACGCTCTAGCTCTCCTCTGTATCAACTTCTCTTGGGTTTCCTTCACAGATTATGTCTTCCTCATATATGAAGGTGTTCTAAACCACAGAAAGAACTGCTAGGTCCCCACACTAGTATGAAGGAGAGTGCTAGGGAATATCTCTTTTAAACCTGGGACACCAGGAAAATTCCAGCAATGGAGAGGCGAGGCAGACATGGACTCTGTGAAGAAGCCATCCTGCCCCAACACCGCGAAGGGACATCACCAATTCCCAGACTCAGTTTCCCTAGTGAGCTGCACTGGCTGACTGCTTCCTCACTGCTGGTTGGGGGCTCCTTCACAAACACATCTGCCTAGGGATCAGCTGGGTGCCAAGGGGTGATTATGGTAGAAACTGTGAGGAGAGACCAGGTCTCAGCTGGGAAGTGAGAGGTTGGAGGTGACATCCTGGGGCCAAAGAGGAAACAAGCAGTGGTAGTGAGAGAGGGGGAAGCTGCTGCCTGTGCTGTTTGTGGGGCAATGTGCTGAGAGGTGGACTGACACCAGGACAGAGAGAAAAGCTAAAGGGAAGTGACTTTCATTTCTGGCAGCTGCCCATTATACCACAGCTACAGCCCTTCCCACCATATTCTCTCCAGTTACAGCAAAAAGGACCCACCTGATGACAGAAGACTCCCGCTGCTGCCGCTGATAATTTTGCCCTTACTCCCCATGTTGGCCAGCTTTGAGGTCTTGAGCGTTCCAGTTTCAGTCAGGTCAATCGCAATCTCACTCAGGCTTCTTGCAGCATGAATCTTGGACTGGACATAGATACAGGAGTTAGTCATGATCTAGCACTTCTTTAAAGCTCACAGCAAGAAAAGGTCCTTTTGCTGTGGCAGAAAAGAGGCTTCCACAGCAAACTTGGATTATTTTACAAGAATAGAAACAATCTGGCATGGTATTCACTGCTGCACTTTCCACATTCTTAAGTGGGTGCAATTCTGGCATCACTTCCTGCTGTCCGTTATTTTCTCTGCTTTGCCACGGACATTTTTCCCTCTTAAACAAAATATGTATCTGTTACCACATACAATAAGAAACCTTCAGAAATGTCAACGTAACACACTGCAAAGCCCAAAGGCTAGAGACCATCTCTAGCATCTAAAGTAAGCCAGGAGGGGCCTTTCCAAATCTGCATTGAGCTTTGGACCAAGACACAGTGAAGACGTGGCATAAATGGGCTGTCATGAGAAGCTGAAAGAAAATACTGGCAGGAAAACATATTCAGGTTATGGTCCAGATAAACCAACCCCATGCAATGCCCCTACTGTGAGGGACCTCTTCAAAGCATTAACATTACTCCAGTAAGAAAAAACAGCCAGCCCCAGCTCAGTAACTGGCCGCACTAGGGCAAGGAGTTACCCATTGTATACCACCAAATGTCAACAATCTAGGAATCTCCAGGGGAAAGTAAACGTGCATACTGTGTAAACCTATAGGAAAGGAAAGGAAGGGAAAGGAAAGGAAAGGAAAGGAAAGGAAAGGAAAGGAAAGGAAAGGAAAGGAAAGGAAAGGAAAGGAAAGGAAAGGAAAGGAAAGGAAAGGAAAGGAAAGGAAAGGAAAGGAAAGGAAAGGAAAGGAAAGGAAAGGAAAGGAAAGGAAAGGAAAGGAAAGGAAAGGAAAGGAAAGGAAAGGAAAGGAAAGGAAAGGAAAGGAAAGGAAAGGAAAGGAAAGGAAAGGAAAGGAAAGGAAAGGAAAGGAAAGGAAAGGAAAGGAAAGGAAAGGAAAGGAAAGGAAAGGAAAGGAAAGGAAAGGAAAGGAAAGGAAAGGAAAGGAAAGGAAAGGAAAGGAAAGGAAAGGAAAGGAAAGGAAAGGAAAGGAAAGGAAAGGAAAGGAAAGGAAAGGAAAGGAAAGGAAAGGAAAGGAAAGGAAAGGAAAGGAAAGGAAAGGAAAGGAAAGGAAAGGAAAGGAAAGGAAAGGAAAGGAAAGGAAAGGAAAGGAAAGGAAAGGAAAGGAAAGGAAAGGAAAGGAAAGGAAAGGAAAGGAAAGGAAAGGAAAGGAAAGGAAAGGAAAGGAAAGGAAAGGAAAGGAAAGGAAAGGAAAGGAAAGGAAAGGAAAGGAAAGGAAAGGAAAGGAAAGGAAAGGAAAGGAAAGGAAAGGAAAGGAAAGGAAAGGAAAGGAAAGGAAAGGAAAGGAAAGGAAAGGAAAGGAAAGGAAAGGAAAGGAAAGGAAAGGAAAGGAAAGGAAAGGAAAGGAAAGGAAAGGAAAGGAAAGGAAAGGAAAGGAAAGGAAAGGAAAGGAAAGGAAAGGAAAGGAAAGGAGGAAAGAAAAGAAGTATTTCAGTTGGAAAGGACCTCCTACGATCATCTAATCCTCCTCCTATCTTAGCAGGGAATGAGTTGACTACCTAAGATGTCATCCTTTCTCCACTGGTTATAGAAGGATTTGAGACAAGACTGCCCAGAAAGTTCAAGTGAGATAACTTCAGAAGTTTCTCTTTGTTGAGCAGTGAGCTCAGATGTGGTTATGCCCACAGAGACAACAAAGGCAGAAAACGTTCAGGGCAAGGGGGTTAGCAGCACTGAAAAAAGAAACGAGCACAGTGGCTGCTTGCAGGGTTGGGCTCACTCAGTCCTCGTGGCTGCCCTGCCTCTGCATTACTAACTCCACTGTTAGAAGCTCACAATCTACCTCCAGTCCATTCTCTTGACAGTCTTAACATGTTGGCAGGCACTTAACATGAACAAGAGGATCAAGAACATGGATCAAAGTTACTGGGGATGGCCCTTCAGTTATACCCCTAGCACTACCAGGAAGAAGAATCCTACATATGAGGGTATCTTGGGTGGCTACACTAGTTTTTCAGACCTTTTTCTGACCAGTACAGCCTTAGGATCACCTTAAAATAACAACATCAGAACAAGCCCAAAGCCTCTCTAGTCCTCTATCCCATTTTAGACTGAGGTCACCTCCAAGCACTTCAGAAAGAAATATAAGGAAACTTTTCATGAAGCTGTTGTGAAATGATCTGTCCACATTTCCTCCTGCCTCTTCTGAACTAATGCTTATGCTCTGAGCTCTGTTTTATGTATTGGTTGTTGAATTTGCTTCAAGTAACAAGCCATGCTAACACAGAGGAAACTGACAACCAGGAAGAAGCTTGCTGTCTGTAACACGGCACACAAAGATAATTGCTACTTCATCACTGACCTGGAAATTGGCTTCTTGCTTGCTGACCCTCACATGAGCTCCTCAGTCACAGACGGAGGGAGCTTGGAGCTCAGCCCATGGCCCAAATCTCACAAGTCCTGTGCTGCTGAGCTTCAATTAGCCTGGCCTTGCAGGGCCACTGACCTGCAGTTTTGATTTCCCAGAACCCAGAAAGCTGTTGGGATGTTGTGCCAAGGCTCTCCAGCTGCAAAAAGACTTTTGTTCAGAAGGACGATGAAGCCCCAGTTCAGGATCACCTGAACATTCACCTCTGCACCTCCTCAAGGCCAGAAGAGATACTCAGCCCTAGTCATACAGTTCAGGTGACAGGCACATCATTACAGTGCTAACAAATCAGAAGCTGACTGATGTCCACGTACCAGGGTGTGATCTGTTCCCACTGGAACTAACATGAGATGGGAGTACAAGGAACACCTGCCATGACAGGATTTTCAGTGTTATTTCACATCCTCAGGAAGCAGAAATGATTTTAACAAGAACTAAGGCTGAACTGATGTCGGAATGCTCACCATGCTGAGCTTCATTCTTAGCTCTGTTACTGATTTGCTGTGGGGCTTTGGGTAAGACACTTAAAGTTACATTCTTAGCTATCCCCTGCCTCTGTTTGCACATCAGTGAAATAATAAGGCGAGTAAAATGTCTCCCTGTTGCACACTGTATTTTTAAGGTTAATTTAAGGCTGCAAATGAAGATAGCACTGGGAGAGCCTTATACTGAAAACACCTTCAGAAGTATTATCATAATTTAATATTCTTGGGTATTTATATGCTCCATCATTACCATTCAGAGGTGCCCAGATACCTGACAAGCTTCTTTCCACAACAACCCCAAGAATAGGGTGTGTGCACTCACTCACTGAGTCCAGAGACTGAACTACCTGCCAAGATGTCAGAGCAGATCAGGCAACCAGAACTGATCCTCTTAAACTGCTGTGATAAACCAGTTAGACACTTCTCATTTCTAGCAGTTCCTCCCCAAAATAAGCCCCAGGAGGACAGCACTCTCTTAGCTTCTTGGATCTGCCTTGGATCTGATGTTTCTGGTCAGAAACAAGATTTGTGAAACATGTTCTCCAAATAGCTCTGGGAGGTTAGTTCTAGGTGAAGAGGAAAGTCACTGCTTTTATCTAAGATTTCCTGCTACTGAAGTCTTGATAAGGAGCCTCAGAATGAACTGCTGTCTTGCAGCAAGGCCAGATCTGCAGAGGTAACAAGGCTTCAGACTGCTGCTGTCCTGGTGATTTATCTCCTGCAGGTGTATATATGCTGTATGACCCTACATGTATGTAGGCTTAAGTATACCTTGGATAACCCCAGGAACAGCCATACTGATCAAACCCAGTATCTGCCCAACCCAATACACTGGATCCCTGCAGCCTATGTCCAGGAAAGGTACAAACCCCAAGTGTGCACAGAGAGATCCTGCCCTCCTGCTCTGCCAGGAAGTGGTTTTCCTCTATTTGTAGGCTAGTTACAGTGAGAAGCCCTGTAGTTTATTTCCACTCATACTCAAGACTGCAAATTAGAGCACGCTCTGGCCCTACTTGTTTGACTAGGCACTAACTAAAACGCTGAGTGAAGGCAACACAACTGGAGGCTGCGGTCCTGGCCAGCACGCCAAGCCAGCAGCAGCTGGAAGTGTGCCCTACATAGGGCCAACAAAAAAATAGTGAAAGAGCAAAGCCTGGCATCCCTGGAGCCAGAAGAGAGGAAAAGCAAACCAGAAGAGAGCAGAGAGGAGATCAGCAGGGCAGAGTGATCTTCCTCCACAGAGGGTGTAATCCAAACCTGTTGATGCTGGTGGTGAAGGTTTTAGATCCAACCACAGTTGTGCTAATGGTGCCCTGCACTGAACAGTGGGGATGGAGCATCTCCTCAAAAGGAATAGGGTTAATTTTCCATGCTGCTCAATCCCTGCTGCCTCTGCTGCCTACAGCAATGCCAATCAGCGTCAGGTCGTCTCCTGCTTTGGACAACCACTCATCA